CCCGAGGCGCCCACGAGAGGAATGCCGTGCACGCCCAGATATTCTTCTCACCGTATCTTGGGATTCACGCGATGCCCAGTTACACGTCCTCGAAGTGGACGAATACCTAGACGCGCGCGTAGCGTGCATGGTTCGAGTGTGCGTGTAAAAATGTATAGGTGTATGTATATATATATATATATCTACATATGTTTATGTATATATATATATATATGTGTATATGTATATGTATATGTATATGTATATGTATATGTATATGTATATGTTTATGTATATGTTTATGTATATGTATATGTATATGTGTATGTATATGTATATGTATATGTATATGTATATGTATATGTATAGTAATATGTTTACTTGTATGCTTATTATTTTGATGATGTTTATGTTTTTGTTTATGCTCATTCTTATGTTTTTGTATGATATGTTTGTGTATGCATGTCTGTATATATACACACAACAGATTGGCGTTTCGCGCCGCGCACCGTGGTCCTTGAAGTTCGGCGCGCAGGCGGAACGGCAGGCAGGTAAACCGTAACATGTAGCGAAAACGCCTTGTTGAATTTTCCGGCGTCGTTATAATCCTGTCATGCGATATTTTTTCCTTCATGCTTCCTTTCCCTCTTACTCATTCTCGCCCTGCTTTGCGAATTCCCCCGCGTCCTCCTCAAACTTGTTTGCGGATGCCCATCTTTGGAGAGGATTCTAGGGGGCCGCGCGAAAGTGTTTGCGGGCTTCTCGAGGCCCTCGTGGAGCCGCCTGTGTTCTTTCTGGGGGCTTCTGGCGGCTTCCTTGGGCCACCTTGCTTTCAACCGCGGTCTCCCTGAACGACGGGTCACGATTTGGAATGTTTCCGGGGCGTCGAGGGGCCATCTTTGACCGTTGGGGTTTCTTTCAGGCCTGCTTGGGGTTCTGTTGGGCCGTCTTCGGGTTTTCTTGGTCTGCCTGGAATCCGTTTCGGGTAGGTTTCGGGCGGTTTTCGGCCTTCTTGGGCGGTCTCGGATGCTTGGAAAACCGAAGAACGGATTAATCCCAAATCGTACAAAAATCACAAGAAGGGGACTCAATGATTTCTTGTGTTTCGAAAGCCCCTTGGTCTTCTCTGGGTTGTCTTCAGGCGCGTGTC